CACCTGTACTCACTTACCTCCCTCTCTTTCACACCTGTTCGTACTTACCTCCCTCTCTCTTTCACACCTATTCGTACTTACCTCCCTCTCTCTTTCACACCTGTACGTACTTACCTCCCTCTCTCTTTCACACCTGTACGTACTTACCTCCCTCTCTCTTTAACACCTGTACGTACTTACCTCCCTCTCTCTTTCACACCTGTTCGTACTTACCTCCCTCTCTTTCACACCTGTACGTACTTACCCCTCTCTCTTTCACACCTGTACGTACTTACCCCTCTCTCTTTCACACCTGTTCGTACTTACCTCCCTCTCTTTCACACCTGTACGTACTTACCCCTCTCTCTTTCACACCTGTACGTACTTACCTTCCTCTCTTTCACACCTGTACGTACTTATCCCTCTCTCTTTCACACCTATACATACTTACCTCCCTCTCTTTCACATATGTCTACACCTCTGACTTCACTAGAAGCATGGCAGAACACAGAGCTGAGCCACACCAACGGGGCAGGAATTAGCTAACGTGTAACGCTGTTGATTTACAACCTACCCCCCCCCCCTTCCCCCCAATCCTAGAATTAGTAGTGGGAAAGTTGACCTGGTAGTAAACGTGACCTGGCGGTGTAATGTATTAGCTTGCAGAATTATATGACCCGGTAATGTATGCCAGACACCAGGATAACAGTTCGTCTTGAACTTTATGCTACAGAATGAAAAATAGATACAAGCTGGCGGGCGCACACATATGTCCACAGAGAACGAGGGGAGAGAGAGAGAGAGAGAGAGAGAGAGAGAGAGAGAGAGAGAGAGAGAGAGAGAGAGAGAGAATGGGTGGGAGACATGCGGAGAGAAAGAGGAATATAGAGATAGAGAGAGTAGGAGGCAATCCAAGAGAGAGAAAGAGAGAGAAAAAGAAGTGTGCAAAATAGTATGGCAAAAACGGAAATACAGCCAGCCAGCCAGCCAGCCAGCCAGCCAGCCAGCCAGCCAGCCAGCCAGCCAGCCAGACAGACAGACAGAGAGAGATAGAGAGATAGACAGACAGACAGACAGACAGACAGACAGACAGACAGACAGACAGACAGACAGACAGACAGACAGACAGACAGACAGACAGACAGACAGACAGACAGACAGACAGACAGACAGACAGACAGACAGACAGACAGACAGACAGACAGACAGACAGACAGACAGACAGACAGACAGACAGACAGACAGACAGACAGACAGACAGACAGACAGACAGACAGACAGACAGACAGACAGACAGACAGACAGACAGACAGACAGACAGACAGACAGACAGACAGACAGACAGACAGACAGACAGACAGACAGACAGACAGACAGACAGACAGACAGACAGACAGACAGACAGACAGACAGACAGACAGACAGACAGACAGACAGACAGACAGACAGACAGACAGACAGACAGACAGACAGATAGACAGACAGACAGATAGATAGATAGATAGATAGATAGATAGATAGATAGATAGATAGATAGATAGATAGATAGATAGATAGATAGATAGATAGATAGATAGATAGATAGATAGATAGATAGATAGATAGATAGATAGATAGATAGATAGATAGATAGATAGATAGATAGATAGATAGATAGATAGATAGATAGATAGATAGATAGATAGATAGATAGATAGATAGATAGATAGATAGATAGATAGATAGATAGATAGATAGATAGATAGATAGATAGATAGATAGATAGATAGATAGATAGATAGATAGATAGATAGATAGATAGATAGATAGATAGATAGATAGATAGATAGATAGATAGATAGATAGATAGATAGATAGATAGATAGATAGATAGATAGATAGATAGATAGATAGATAGATAGATAATAGATGAATTAATAGCCAGACAGATAGACGAAAAGAAAGAGAGACAGACAGACAGATGAAGGGGTAAGGGTGAAAAAAAAAGAGAAAGATCATAGGGAGTAAAAAAGAGAGCAAATAAATGTAAGAGCACGATATCAAGAGAGAGAGAGAGGGGGGGGGGCGGGGGAGTGAGAGTGCAAGAGAAAGAAATGAGAGAAAGCGCGCTATAGCAAAAAAAAAAAAAAAAAAAAAACATTCAGAGAGAGAGAGAGAGAGAGAGAGAGAGAGAGAGAGAGAGAGAGAGGGCAAAAGAGGGACCAAAACAGAGCAGGAGAAAGCGAGACCAGGAGAGAATGAGAGCAAGAGAGAGTGAGAGAGCGAGAGCAAGAGAGAGTGAGAGCAAGAGAGATAATTTTGAGAGAGAGAGAGAGAGCGCACGAAGCAAGAAAAAGAGCAACGAGTGAGAAAGAGAGAGAGAGAGAGAGAGAGAGAGAGAGCAAAAGTGGAACAAAAGAAAACAAAAGACAGAACATGAGAGAGAAATAAGAGAGAGATGAAGAGAGAGAGAGAGAGAGGGAAAGAGAGAGCGTGCGAGAGCAAGAACAAAGAGAGAACAAAAGAAGTAACAAGCTAGAGCAAGAGAAAGGGAGGGATGGTGGGCAAAAGAGAAAGAGCAAGAGTGAGCAAGAAAAATAGCAAACAAATGTAAGAAAGAGAGAGAGAGAGAGAGAGAGAGAGAGAGAGAGAGAGAGAGAGAGAGAGAGAGAGAGAGAAAGAGAGAGAGAGAGAAAACACAAGATAGAGGGGAGTGAGAGAGAGCAAGACAGAGCGAGAGCATGAGAGAGTTAGTGATAGAGAGATAGAATGAAAGAGCATATGTATGCAAGAGTGCCATGGGAAACCATTCTATATGACTGTAAGAAAGAGAGATAAGGATAGAAAGAAATGGACAGAGAGACAGAAATAGAGAGAAAGACAAAGAAAAAGAGGCGAAAGAGGAGAGAGAGAGAGAGAGAGAGAGAGAGAGAGAGAGAGAGAGAGAGAGAGAGAGACTGCAATGAAAGACTGCGTCTTACACAACATTGAATAAGAAAACCATACACAAACCATAATTCAGTCTTATAACAAAAGAGAGCCATAAATTGTCTGCAAATTTTGCAACCGCCGCGTTGTTAAAATTGAATTTACGAGCCACGAAGGAATTCCGAAGCGATTTCTTTCTGACATAGCATGTAAGTAAAGTAAGGAAACGAGCCTGTTTACCTGTGGCGCCATGAGCACATTTTTTACATGCCAATCAGTATTCGTTGGGCAATATAGTCAACATCGACCACCTTTACTTCACAGGAAGTAAGGTACCAAAGTAAAAAAAAAAAAAAAATGCGGACGATGCAGATCTCAACCTAAGACCTTCGGGTCGGCAGGTAAGCATCTAGCCACTACACTGCCGCGCCTTCTAGTAAGCCTGACTCCGCCAATAATTTACCAGAGTGACAGACATCATTACAGTGACAGTTTTCTTGGCTATCCTCCGAATAAGGGAAACGAAAGATGGCGGCCAATGTCAGCCAAAAACAGGGCCTCAGTCACGTGTCTACTGCGCACTTCCGGTGTGGATTGGGGCTAAACTGATGGCTAGGACTCACAAGCAAAGCTGCAGAAGATGCGGAAGCTGCTATTCGTGAGTGCCAGCTATCTAGTTTAGCCCCAATCCACGCCGCATGAGCGGCGTGAGGGATACACTCGGCGGTGGCGGTAGTCGCCGGAAAACCGCAAATTAAGTCGCCGTATGTGCGCAATTGACACGTGACTGAGGCTCTGTTAGGATGTTTTTGCGGCCGCCACCTTTTGTGCCTGTTATTCGGAGGATAGCCGTTTTCTTTATCCTACTTTTGTATATAAAAGTGGTAGGCAATATTTTAGTATCTGTTTAGTCCTTAATCGCAGTTGAAACCTCACGGCAAGCGAGTATTATAAATGTATCCTTACTTGTATCAATTAGAAGCAAACCATGTTTCCCTTGCTATCTTATTGTAGAGGGTGTGGCGAAGAGATGTTTCAAAAATTACTAAGCGTGATAACATCTTCTTCTTCTTTTTTCTCAAAGTCATTGCCGAGTAGCGTTGGTAGTCATGACTATCTACAAACTTCTGCCTCGTGTACTTTCAATCAACTCTGACAGAGATGGTCCTCCATGCCACGCAGAAGAAGAATGATGATGATGATGTTCAACTCCACCAGAACATCACGCTGAGCGATACATACCCGGTGACACAAAGTGCCACTATTCGGATGAGAATCGACCAGGGACAGGTCCTAACTACGCCGTCAAACTATATGTTGGGCCCCAGGCAATAGCCAGGTATAGGCTTTAAAACATCAAAATGGCGTCCGGCATTGGGACGCAGTTACAATGCATGCAGAATAATACTAAACACTTTTAAAGAAGAAGTAGAATAATAATAATAATAATAATAATAATAATAATAATATTAATAATAATAAGAAGAAGAAGAAGTAAAAGAAGAAGAAGAAGAAGAAGAAGAAGAAGAAGAAGAAGAAGAAGAAGAAGAAGAAGAAGAAGAAGAAGAAGAAGAAGAAGAAGAAGAAGAAGAAGAAGAAGAAGAAAAAGAAGAAGAAGAAGAAGAAGAAGAAGAAGAAGAAGAAGAAGAAGAAGAAGAAGAAGAAGAAGAAGAAGAAGAAGAAGAAAGAGAAGAAGAAGAAGAAAGAGAATAAGAAGAAGAAGAAGAAGAATAAGAAGAAGAAGAAGAAGAAGAAGAAGAAGAAGAAGAAGAAGAAAAGGAAGAAGAAGAAGAAGTAGTAGTAGTAGTAGTAATAGTAGTAGTAGTAATAGTAGTAGTAGTAGTAGTAGTAGTAGTAGTAGCAGTAGAGTAGTAGTAGAGTAGTAGTAGTAGTAGTAGTAGTAGTAGTAGTAGTAGTAGTAGTAGTAGTAGTAGTAGTAGTAGTAGTAGTAGTAGTAGTAGTAGTAGTAGTAGTAGTAGTAGTAGTAGTAGTAGTAGTAGCAGCAGTTTACATTTACAGCAGGGCACACTGTTAAGTGTGACATCTATCCTTACATAACAACGTTAGCCTATTTAAACGATCGTAAAAATCAGACACACATATAAAGTACTCACCCTCAGTAATGCAGGATTAATCTGGAACACGCAGATGAGACAGACGATAACGGTGAGGGAATTGCGTGAGTTGACCATCGCAGAGCCAGCTTTCCTTCTCTATGGTTAAGTGAAAATGTTATTGTAAAACAGAGAACAACTTTTCTGTAAAATTCACACTTCACCAAGGGCAGATAACCAGTACTGTACTGTCCACAAATGTGCAGTTATTTCTGGTGACGATTGCAGGTGTTTGAAAAGAACCAGATCTGCGAGTAAAATCAAAACGCATTTAGCATTACTGATAATGAACACGACGCATGCATACAATCGAGTGCACATGTGCATACACATACATACATGCATATATATAATTACAAGGGGCTTCTGGTGAAAACGTCAAAAGTGTGATACAAATGATAAAAACCACGTCATTGGATTGAAACATGTTGATTTTCTTGTTAGGGATGTCAATAGTGTTAAGCACGTGACATCACGGGGAAGACTTAACACTATGAGCCTGTAGTAGTTCATCAGCGAATGAAAGTCCTGTATGGCGGCGATACTTGCCTATCAGTCTAGCAAGTGTATGAATGGAGTTATATAAACCCAAACGAAAAGTATATAGGCGAGCTTCACAATATCATAAACATGAAATAAAACGTGAACGTTGCGGTTATACAGCCTTCGTCAGAACAGTCACAAATTAGACAAAACTACATAACTACACAGTATCTCGAAGCAGCCAATAGACACTGTGGTAAGAGACTGTCCTGAAGTGGGACACTGAGGCAGGACGTAACCGACTAGAATGTACCTGAGGTTACGGTCGTGCTTGTAGGCCACTAGGGGAGGTTCAGGGAAAATCTCGCTGGTGGTGGGGTCAGCCCTAATGGATGCGATTATGAAATGAATGGAATGGGAAGTTTCAAAACCGTGTGACTTCTGTAACAAGGAGCAGTCTTCTTTTTTTTTCACCGGCGTAAGCTCTGGTGGAAGGCCTTAGCTTGTTTGTCCATTTGGATTTGGGCTTTTGTTCCAGAGCCTGAGTTTTGCGTATACATCCGTTTTACTGGCTTATTTCTTGTTCCTTGCGGCTCGGGCAGATACACTGCGACTTCAAAGAAATTCCTCAGTTAGTCGACTCCTACGACATGCTTGTATGGAAAACAGTGGGTCTATTCTTGTTTTTTCCACAATAGGGCCCTGGAACCCACATGGGAGGTCACGGAAGAGGGACCTGAGAGTCGTCTGCAGCCGTTTTAAAACCCTCTTACATGCATATTTATGAGTCATGAGTTGGATTATCTTCACAGCACGCCGGACACACCCATAAGTGTTTAGATTACCCTCTAAACATACTCATCAGCGTCGCGCGGCTAATAGTGCTGGTCCTATGCTAGTTGACAAAACTTCGTGTGCGTCCGGTGTGCCTCTCATGCTTGACTGTGCCGATCTTTACTCCCAATTCTCGTACTTTTAGCAGTGATGTGGACACATTACTTCCAAAATCCTCGGAACGTCTTATCTCTCTAAGGGTGTTGACAATGTCTGCGTGATCCATGGACCGGCCATCTTCAATTAATGCGGCACCTGCCAGTTTATCACCTCTTTTATTACCAACAACGCCAAATATGAAGGTTACTGCACACACAGGAGAGTTTTGCAATGACTCAAACCACTGTTGTAACTGCTGCTTTCATTGACGATGAACTGCATTTCAAGTGCCATACTGCATGTGTTGGCACTTCCGTCAGCTGCCTTATGCATTTAATGCTTGTGGAAACTATTGACTGCAGTCTGTGGTAAATTGTTTCCCCTCAAGGGACATTGATGGGCATTCTATGTGGTTTTCTGTGTGGTACAGGAATGAAGCAACTATTAGGGAGCAGTTATATAGTTGGTGCTGTGATAACCTGAGGACCTGAAACCACTCTGTGTGGGCGATTCTCTATTTTTTTTTTAACCGTCTTCTGATTGTTGAATGTTAAATTTTGAATTAAGAATCGAAATCCCAGCACACGGGACACTCCCATAAGCGCTCCGTCACCATCTTCAGCAACAAGCGAAGAGTTTCAGTTCCGATGGTACCAGTATCTGAATGATTGTACATCTATCTCTCCTTTACCTTGAGTATTGAGCGTCGATTAGATCCACTAGTAACTTCCCGCAGCGCCATTCTCCTTAGATACTATTATTCTGTTTGTACCTCCTCACTGTTCACTCGCTCCCCGAGGGACCTCATAATACCTAGATTGTCATACATCAAACCGGCTAGTCTATCTGTCTGCTTGTTTCGCAACACACCAGACGTGGGAAAAATATCCAAACGATAATAACTACACAAGAACTCTGAAGCGATGATTGCCACTCTGCACGGAGCATACCTGTCTTCACCTTTTTCAACATACTCTATGAGTCAGTGACAATCACGGCATGTGTGTACAGCTGATTCTCAAGATAGCCGAAGGCAGCAGTGACTGCCTCCATCTCCATTCGAAAACTAGACGCTGTGATATCATATGCCACGCTTTGTTGCCGTCTAATATAAAGCGACTTTTTCCAGATATCAGCACTTCTAAAATAACATGAATAACAGTTTGCACCTGTAATGTCGATGCGCCGATACAACTCTGATATAACCCGACACAACAATGAGAACGTGAATACAGGCGTGAGAAAATGTCCTCTCTGTAGCGGTTCACACGTCTCCACACCCCCCACACCCGCGCTCTCCACCCCCCAATAGTGGTGATGTTTACTAGCGGCGGCAGCACAGTGGCAAGAAACTCGCCTGTCGGTCCCAAGAAATTGGGTTCAGATTCGTACCGGGTGGATTAAAAAAAAATACGACTGTGCTCCCAGGCCAATCCAGCCATAAAGACACCGAGAAAAGTCCTTGGAAGTAAAGACGATTGATATAATATCAACCACATAGCTTATTTAGCGTCGATTGGTCTATAAAATATGAGACTAGCGTTCTACGATCGATGTCCCTCTGTGTATGTTACAGGACCGGGTAGTAAATACAGTGATTTCCTGCAACTGCAAAACAATGACCTCGATAGTGCAGCCTGTATCAGAGGTAACCATTCGAAATGCCAGAGATTATTAAACATTGTTGTGGGCAGCTTCATTCTACTCTATTTGCTCTAAAGTTTCGGGGTTCGTTTCACCAGTGCAGTTTTGTTCTGAGAACTCTGCGGTCGTAGCTTGAGCTACATAATTTGTGCTTTGTACGGCACCTTTGATTAGGCTGCTGGCCGCTCTTTCGAGGGTCACTGAACCAATTGGTGTAAAACAGAGTGCAACGAATGTGATCCTCCCACTTTTTATTTCCTTCTAAAATTTCACGCCAACGTTCAACAGTCTAGAATAAGTACCAGCAAGTGTCATGAAAGGTGAAGTTGGGAGTTGGAAATCGAAAAGAGTAGCCTAACGGCGCTGCCTGGGCAACATTTGGAGTTATAAATCTACGCAAAGTATTTCAGGATCCTCGCCGGTGAGACGGAGTTTATGCAAATCGTGATGAGGGCATGATATGGGGCCGGCGTGGTCTCGAGGCATGGCGTCCACCTCGAGTGTTGGAGGTCCTGGGTTCAATCCCCAGGAAAGGCTGAGATTTTTTCACGTGGACTTTTAGTAATTTCCCATGGTCTCTGGGTAGTAAGATCGGACGCCCGTATAATTGTTGCGCATGTAAAAACATTCCCTCACAGTTGGAAATCGAAAAGAGTAGCCTTACGGCGCTGCCCGGGCAAAATTTGGAGTTAAAAATCTACTTTAAGTATTTTAGGATCCTCGCTGGTGAGACGGAGTTCGTGCACTGTGCTGAGATTCTTCGGACTCAGGCTTGAGCTTGAAGTAGAATTGAGCATTTATGGATTATAGCTTGTGCCATAATGTTGATCCATTGTGTATACAAGAGCTAAGTTCAGCAAAGCATCTGCTACAGGACAATGATATTGGTGAGGTACATACAGCTTTTGAGCTTCAAGGATTTATGGTCGCGTGTCTTTCGAGACAGTGACGCCAGTCGGGGTAAAACCTAGTGCTAAGAGTGATGTTCCCCTTTTTTATATATCCACCTAAAGTTTCAAGCTCAAAGTGCCCCCCCCCCCCCCTTTTCCCACTTTTTAAAAAAAATTTACAAGACAAATTCACGCATACATTTTTGACGACAATGTATCTATACTTGCTATTTAATTCCCCTTAATACGTACGATGTGTAAGCCAAGGTATAGTCGTTTATGAGCATGACTGCCGAAACAGTGCGCCGTGCTGAATGCCCATATATAGGGCCGGATTTAAGCGTGATGAAACCCGATGAAATATAAAGCTTCGAGGCACCTACCGTTTTAAATTACACCAGCTAATATCATAAAACTTTAAAGTATGCCCGCCTTATGAATATATGGATAATGAAAAAAAATGTAGTTTGATTATTATTGAAAGAAAAAGTAAAGAATATGTTTGCAAAACCACATAAATTATACTGATGTAATCTCAAGCAACGACAAAATATACAGTGCATGTTTACCTTACAGCTTCCACTGAGAGTGACTGAGATCAAGTCAATAAAAGGTGGAACTTGACAGGTAGCAAGCCGATTATTTTATTTAATTTAAACAGGCTACATAATGTTAGAGTAAAGTTTAGGATAGTGTACACAAAATAATATTAGTAAAATTAGAAAATTTATGGGCGAGAAAAGGTTCACAATTTAGTTTTTAAATTGCATTAAAAATAGATTGAAAGAAAACTGTGTTTTCCGCCTCTGCTTCAAGCCATGGTTAAATTAACTAGATTTATACGGGGGCCAAAATGATGTAAAATGATCACTAATACACCACCGACTCGGCTGCTTCGAGATACCAGCTAAGTGATTTTGTGTATCTGTGTAGTATTGTTTGATTTGTATGTGCTGACGCAGGCTCTATAACCGCAAAGTTCACGATTTGTTTGTATTTGTTATATCGTAAAGCTTGCTAATATACTTTTCGTTCAATTTTATATATTTTATTGGTACAATACAATACACTAGCAATGATTCAGGTACCACTTGATAGGCCTCCGCCATCCAGATTTGATCTGCGGGC